TCGTAGTTCCTGGAAGAAAACCTGAGTTGCTCAGAATTCTATGATCGCTCACAATAACAAATTCCTGAAAATGGCCTGTGACTGAAACTGGCCAATGGCAGAGGATTTTTTGGGGAGTGAAGGGTCGCTGTTTGAGGAAGTGGGGGTGAGGAAGTGGGGGTGTTAACGGCTAAAAAGAGGGACTGAGTGTTGAGGTGGTTGTTTGTGTCAAGCTAGTACCACTGTGTGTCAGATCACCCGTTTCTTTTGGCATATCTGATTTTTTTTTTTCCCCAAGTTCAGACAAGCTCAACTAAAAGTGAAAGTGTATATATATTCACACCTAATGTGACTAGCAGCTGTATTCATATAGTGGGCAATATCAAATAATGATTTAGTGCCTCTTTCCTGTGTTTTCCTGATATACCTGATTCCTCTGTATGTAATCATACCAAACATTCCTCCTTTGTTGTTGCACCAAATGTGTATTAATCCGCAGCAGGAAATAGTCCCCAACAAATGCACTATTTGCCCCATTGAGTAATGTTTGGTAAAATGATTAATCAATAAATTATTTAGTCAGTCGTGTGAAAATGTCCTGCTTTTCTGTTTTACATCACTATAAATGTAATGTCTTTGGTTTTTGGACTGTTGGTTCAAACAGTTAAGTACTTTTTTTTGACATATCATTAGCTGACTGTGCCAGAAGGTTTGTTTCCACAGAACCATTTAGGAGGTCGTCACTGGAAACTGTTGGCAGGTGATTAGAGGAACGATGATCACCATGTCTATGATTGCCTATCATGGCCGAAAGCAATAAGATAAACAAACTGTATAACCGTGTAATCTTACCACAGCCAATTGGGGAAATAGTCCAAACAGTCAAGAAATTCTTCACATTTGATATAACTGATGCTAGCAGCATCTTTGCTAACCTCTTTAGCAGTCACTTCTCTCACACACGTTGAAGTTTTGTATGACAGGGTTCATTATAGGACAGTAGCCTTTTACTGACTCTAAATATACTAAGTATTGTTTTTGTGTTTTGAAAGATTGAGTGTTTGCCATTTCAGTAATTACATTTGTCCAGAGGTGTTTTCTTGTGTTGGCCAACATGTCCTTGCTTTGAATACATTGCTCCGGGCTGGGGTCTGTTCACTTTGCTTTACACTTTGAAATCGAACATTCACATTTACAGCTCTATGAACATAAAACCTTCAGAAAACATTTTTTGTCTCACTTTATGTTCAACCTTCCTTGTTGTTTAAAAAAATATGTACTTTACGCCTGACTTTGGATTGTGAATAAAGCAAACAACTGAGAATAATCTTGGTTAAAACACTGGCCCACACCACTAAAAGTAATGTCAGGAATGTTATTTAGATATCTATTTCTAGGTCTCTCAAAACAAACACAGACAGACCCCATGTTTACCAACAGAAGACATTTATAGGCCCAATCAGGTGGTTGAAAACAGTCTCAAAACTTTCCCAATGTCTGGGATGTGCGCATGCATGCACATGCATGATGGGCATGCTGACAGTCCTCCTTCTTCCCTGTTTTTATTCCTCCTCCTGCTCCTCCTCCTCCTCCTCTTCTTCCTCCCTGGCCGTTGCTTGTCTAACCAAGGGATATGAACTTTACTGTTTACTCTCAGGGCTGGTACAGGGCTGTGTCTGGGCTTGACTGGCTGAGATACTGGAGCCTATAGCAGTTCCAGCTCCTCGCTCACTGGGAGCAGCAGAGTGCAGGCATACACAGCAGTTCACTGCCTCACAACTGTGTAGGCCAAAGGGCTTTTCTGTCAGCAGCAGCCTGTCAAACCAGCCACCAGCAGTAACACTTCCAAATGTCATTACTAAGCCCTAACTGTGTATCGTTAGTGTGTCACTGGGAGCAGTGGTGTTTGATTCCTATAAGGCTAAATTGTATAAACGGTCCATTGTTTTCATGAAACACATTGGAAGTATCTGATTTAAAATAACAATAATAAAACAATTTGGGTGAAAATCTGCTTATTATTAATTCAAATACTATACATTTATTTATTATTGATTGTTTGCTCATGAGGTTTGCTCTATTAGAAATAGGAACATTTGTATAGTGTGCACGTCCAGCCCCAGAAGTAAACACGTGCAGCGAGAACAAAAGCAGCATATAAAGGAAAAAGGGATGAACTCTGCTCACCAAATATTACCCCAAAGAATTATGAATTAACTGAGAAAACCGTATGAACTCAAGGACCACAGTTTGAGCCAAGTGTTTGATGATGATGATGTTTCAACTTTCCATTATTCTAAGACCTTTAAGGACCTCTCGTCCCAGCTGGCTCAGAAGTTAAAAGGGACAACTTTTTGAATAAGTGCAGGGTTTGGTTGTGAGAGGGATTTAAATCACTCAAAGACAGAGTGGCTCAGCACAACTCTACAGAGCTGTAGAGGACACTAACCTTTTTTGTTAGATCAGAAGGAGGATAAAGGCAAAATGAATAAATTAGACCTCAGCCACATTTGCTTTTGATATCTGGACACGAACCTTCTACTGTGATATTGCGTTGCTGGCAATTACCACTGCCTCTCTCTATCACCGTCAGTCTATCATGGTGTGAGGTGAGCTAGTCTCCCCAGATTACAATTAAATGGATACACTTACTCCGAGTTCAAGTTATCTAAAATATTTGAACATTTTACAGGACGAGATATATATTAAGAGATAAGTGAATGATTAACACAGGGAGATTAAAACTTCACTTGACTTTGTCTTACAATTTTAAGTCTAATTCTGTCTCTGCATGTGGTGTTTTGTTGTTTTTGTTTTTCCCCAGGCTCTGTGTCCTTGTCCAGGACAGCTACGGGATGTTCAGTGTGGTCCAGCTCCACCTCCTGCCTTGCAAGGACGACCTCCGGCATTACTGTCACATGTGGCAGGGGAGGACTTGTGTGCTGAGAGGCATTAAAGTGGTGCAGCGGGTCACTCGAGAAAGGTGAGACCCACACACTCCTCTGTACCCATCCCTCTAAGCCTGGGTAGCTTTTCACCTAAATATGAGTTCACAGCCATGAGTAAACTTCACAACCTGTGACCAAAACCAATTTGTGAGATGGATTTATCTTATCTCCCTCCTTAGTCATCTGGGACAACAGCCCTGAGTAAATGCCTAATAGACAGGTGCTGATATCAAATGCTAGTAAAGTATCCTCTGGGTTTTGTGCCATAGGGGCACTGAGCCTCAAGCTAAACCGTCACACATGTGGATATTGGTTTATGTGCCTTATGTGTGAATCTCCAGTGCTATAAACCACAGCAAATTACCCATTTGTATCCTTGAATGCCCTTCTCAAACATCAACACCCACATGTGCAACACAATGAGAATTTAATGTTTGCAGCTCATATGAGCCTGATTTTGCTGTCCTGCCAGCAGTGCAACTGTGTTTACATGTAAAGTGATACCAAAGTGCATGCTCTGTGTCCCTTGTGAATTTCCATAGTCAGGATCCCAGATTAGAAGCAGTTAGAAGAACTGACATGGGAACATTTAGAGACCGCCTGGGGGTATGTTTACATCCTTGGTATTTTCAATGCCACCACAGCCTATAATGTCTCTGGAGGTTGGCTGTGGTCTGTGATGGATGGGCTATCTTCAGCGCTTACACATGGGCTATCTTATTAGCTAAGTGGAAAAACACATGGGCCTGGTTTGGATGGCTTTCACTTTGCCCCCAGTTTCTTAGTAAATATTGGACCTCTAAGTATATCATAATAATCTATATCTTAAAGGAATAGTTTGACACTTTGAGGAACGCTTTCTTCTCTTTTTTGCAGAGAGATAGCCAGGAGACTGTTAGCTTAGCTTAGCATAATGCCTGGAAACAGGGTAAACATGTGATATAACATGTTAATTAATTAGTAAGCTAGGGGTCTGGGTAGGTAGGTTTTGTTATCCTGGGACAGAGCAAGGCTAGCTACCTGCTCTCAGTCTTTATTCTAACCTTAACAAATTTCCCCCTGGGGATCAATAAAGTATTTCTGATACTGATTCTATTCTAACTCTCTCCTGACTGTAGCTCCATATTTAATGGACAGATCTAAGAGTGGTATCGATCTTCTCCTCTAACCTTCAGAAAAAAGCAAAAGAGCAAATTGCCCTAGATGTCAAACTATTTCTTTTACAATATTAGTCTTGTAGGGGTGTGAGGTTTCTAAACAAATACTCAGAGGCCACCCTGGCACCTGTGTGACTAGTGTGTCCTATCAGTATTGTCTTTATGGTAAGGATTTATTTTCACAGAAAGTTCACCCTTCTTGGATGTACTCCAACTAAAAAGAAAAGGGAAAAGTCATATTTTTAAGTACTGATCAACATCTCAGCTCTGAAATACAAACTACAGCTGTACCTTAGAGCATTGAGTACATACACTCACTATGAAAATCACAATGAGTTGAATGAGTCCTGTTAGTTTTTGTCGTTACTCATCCTGGAGTAGGCCTCACTGGACTTGAATGGGCTGCAGAACCAGTTCCACACAAAGAAACCCTGTGATTACAGGCTGACTAACAGGTTGTTAACCCCTGGCTGATATGACAGCACACATGGATGAATAAGTAACATCAACTGGGCACCCTGAACTCAACAAGTATTTCTTAGAAAAGAGACTATGAATCAAAAGATTGGCGTGTCTCTTGTCGGAGTTACTACTTGTTAATTAAATTTTTTCCTCCATACATATTGTTGATTCCAATAAAAGCATGCTGAGTATGACCTGATTTCAGTCTGTCATTACTGAGAACAAGAAGGTGGTGAAAGACAGCAGCATTATAAATGTGGCAGTTGTAATTGGTTTTCTAAACCTTGTTATTTTTGCACTACAATGATATTGTAATTTACATAGGGTGTGAACCGTTTTCCCACCCAACAGTGTCTCAAAACCTGCTTGTAAAAACAGTTTTTGTGTGGGTCTGCCAGCCCAAGCATGCTCTCGCTGTTAATACTAGGTGACGTTAAAACAAGCTCTGCCTTAACAGATTCATGTTTCAGTGGAAGTGAAACTGGCTGTGAAAGCTCTCTATCTTCCCGTCAAAGTCCCTTATTCACTAGTTTCTCCTCCCCTCCCCCCTTTTAGTGCCCCCCTCCTTACCCCCTTTCTCCTCTTTTTTCTGTTTCACTCTCAGGCACACCAGGCTTTTCAGCTTGATAGACAGTCTGTGGCCTCCAGTGATGCCTCTTAAAGATCATGGATCAACGCCCTGTATGTCCACTGTAAGTCCTTACCACGACAGGAATCATGCATCTTCATCATGTGAGGGCTTGGTTTGGGAATATATTTGCATTTTTATGAATGGAACTGGGGCTGCAACTGATGATTATTTTCATTATTAAGTAATCTGCTGACTATTGTCCTGATTGATTAATTATTTGGTCTTTAAATTCTCAGAAATTGGGAAAAAGGCCCATTACAATTTAAGTGAAAACAGTTATTAAATTAGATCAAATAAAGAATACATTTAAAGGTCCAGTGTGTAGGATTTAGTGGCATCTAGTGATAAAGTTGCAAGATTGCAACTAACTGAAAATTGCTCATGTCTGTATGTGGCGACCTGGGAATGAAAACTTCAGCATGCTGCAAATATTGAAAACACAAATTCAGAAAAAGGTTGCAGGGCATTGAGCGGTCAGGGCCAACATAATGTATATTATATGTGTAAATATCTGAGGAGAAATAATAACTCACTTTGAGCACTGCTCATTGATGAGACAGCTTGATTCAAATTACAAATCAGTATATTTTCCTCAAAATGAAGATGCTATTAAAACATGTCTTGGTTTTTATAGGAAAGTAGACCTGCAGGTCCAGCTCCGAGTTTCTGCTACCTGCTGTCTGGTCAGGAGAGCTCGGTTGAACCCGCTGAGGTGTCGCAGCTTTACCTTCCTCCCACAACACAAACCTTGCGAGACATGCTGCAGGTGAACAGTTTCTCCAACACACACACAGAAAAAATAAATAAAAATGCCGATCAGCATGACTGATATTCAGTAGGTCAATCTCAAACCTTTTTCTTCTTTTTCAGAGTGAGCTTAAAACCTGTCGCTGCAGTTTTGTTGCCACTGTTGTATACAAGAGAATAATGCAGGTACTTCTTTTTCCTCATTCCAGAAAAACACTGATTTAATTTGCCTTTAGTCAGAAGAACATGATAAACATTGTGTGTTGTAGAGCTCCTCAGCTTTTGAGATCATTTGAACCAACAAACTGATAAGATTGAGCTCTGACGTAGAGAGCAGCGTTCATATCGCTGTGTGTATGACAATCTGTGTGAGGCCCAGGCGATCTTTACCATTGATTGGTGAGACCTTTAAACTTTGAACAAGATGAGATAGCAGCTCAGAACAAAGTGGTGGACTTTGTCACACACTCACACCACTGAAACACAGATATACTTTTAAATGTTGTACTAGTAACCACTATTGTGTGGATCTAAATAAATAATCTCGTCAAAACTGTTTTCAGGAATTACAATTTTCAACCAATTTGTGCTTTGTAAGCTTTTGTTGTGTAATATTTCCTTTAAGCTGTTTCTAGGTCATTCTGTGTGCCTTTTTCTAAGCACTTCTATTCTTTGTGTCTTTGTCTGCCTTTCTGTTTCTATTTTAGAGCAGTGATGTAGGCCAGGGTGAGGTTTGGTTGGTGCTGACAGACCCTAGTCTTCAGGAGGAGCAGCCCGATAGACCTTGCAGGCGAACAGTGGCCCTGTGTGTGAATACTTCCTGTGTGCTCACTTCCGCTGTCCTCGAAGCACTAAATTCCCCTGCTGCCTGTTGTGTGTCATTCAGAGATGCCATCAAAGAACATGGTAGAGCTTTATTGTGAACTAACATGCTGTTAAACCACTATCTAATAAGGTGTTTTATCTTATAGGACTGTGTGCGTGTCACCCCACCTGTGGTGGGAAGTAAATACATACATTTACCTGAGCACAATTCTGAAATACCTGTACTCTACTTGAGTCTCTCTGTTTTCTGCTACTTTATGCTTCTCCATTACAAGTAAAAGTCCTGGATATATAGGATTGTTCTATCTTATAGTTTTTATAATAACAATGCATCAAATGAAAACATGACAATGTGAGTTTCTTTTAACTTATTGTTTTTTTTTTTTTTTTTTTTTTAGCAAAGACGCTCTAAAAACCAACTGTACACTACCTGCTGAGCACTAAACAGCAAACAAACACAGTTAGTGATTAGCTGGGGAACAGCTAAAGCGCTAAATGTTTCCTTCAGGAGTTGGTACAGACCAAAAACAGAGCTAAAAGTGAATATTGGACTAAATAGCAATAATGTTGCTCTGTGACTGTCAGATAATACGTTCACCATATCAACTTAAAAGGTGATTGAATTTCAATGTTGGGTTCACAATTTGTTTCAGCTGCTGCAGAAAATGTTAAGAAATGTGTTATTGCAGGTTTAAGGTCAGGCACTTTGAAAACTATGAGAGACTCCTGCACAATGTCATCAGGTGAAGAAGGCTGTATAGACCTAAGTGTTGTGTAAATAAAATGAATATTTTTTCAGCAGTAAGCGAGACAGTGTGCGGGAGTCCCTCGCACCTTCCTCTGACGCACCTGTCACACATTCAGTTGTCCAAAGCAAAGGATTCAGGAAAATCCAAAAAATGTATACAAATTAGCTTTTTGTTCTTTCCAACCCCAATAATTAATCATCTCATGACCACACAGATTTATCTTGTGACCCTTTGGAGGGTCCCAACCCCTATGTTGGGAACTGAACTACTGAACTGCATGTGAAGTAGCAAAAAGAAAGTCCACCTCAGCTACATGCTGTTTACACACTTTTTAGTATTATATCTGCAATTACTAACTTTTGCTGATTGAGTTGCACTGTGGGTAATGTAGGCACCATGTCTTGACAAGGAAGAAGTATGTGTGGAATAAAAAAAGACTTTGTCTGGCCTAGAGTTCGACAATGTTATGGGACTGAAATGCTAAATTGGTGGAGTACTCTTCTTAGTAGTAGTATTAGTAATTACATATTTAAACATTGTTGTACTGGTACTTTTAACTCGAACTAGTTTGATGGCTGTGGATTAACTCAGTACTCTAGATTATTTATGCATATTTCCTTTGTAATAACATTTCCAAATTTCCACATGTAGGTGTTCTCCTTTGTGTGGAGCAGTCGGTTGTTCAGATATGCTCTGTAGATCCTGAAGGCAACCTTGAGCTCTCAGCCAAGCCAGAGTCACGTTCACAGTCGCTGGCTGAGCCTCAGGCAAAGACCCTGCCCCAACCTGTGAGACTGGATCCACTGAGTCCTGAGATCACGCCCAACTCCCTCTGCTCTCTCACAGGTCAGTTGCCTGAATCCTGTGGTTTCCCTGTAACTCTACATCTGAAGTGCCTCCTGCAGACATTGCCTGATGTGTTGTTTTCTCAGGAGAAGAAAACCACTTGTGTTTTTTTTATATAGAAGTTTACAACTCAGCAAGAGGCCTTGATGTGGCTTTAAGGCATCACTCTCTGCTGTTTGTTATTCAGTGTCCTCAGGCCGTCATTGTTTGGGACAAACACATGAAATTGTGTTGGATTTTTGTCAATTCCCATGTCATTTTGCAGTGAAATTAACATGCCTGCTCCCCATAAGGCTTATAATTTCAGATGAGGGTTTGTAGTATTGTTTCCCCCAAATCTCTATTGTGTACAGTAAATGTGCATGTTTCTTTACATGTTTAAGCTTTTTACTAATTGCTAACATAAGATATGATTGCCACAGCTACATATTGAAGAAATCAAACTTTTTGGAAATTAAATTAAACCATAGAAGAACCTCTCTGCTGTTTTTATCAACCTAATTTGTATCAATATAAGTTAAAGTCCTTGCTGTGAAGCTTTCTTCAACTCTTTTCTGTTATGTAAATGTGCAGAAAAGAGCAGCATAAATCAGATAATAATCTGCATCTGTCGACTTTGTGTCACAGTTGAGGGCAAAGATCGAACCGTGAACCCTCTTGTTTCAGGCCCCTCTGGTTGTACATGTTTGGTCAGGTGGCTGAAAAACTAAAACAAAACTTATTATCGTTTGCACTTGGGCGCGAATACTATCTTCGGGAAATTACCAGTGGAAAAAGGCTCCAACCGGAAAGTACAAGAACGATTTATCAGTGTAAAATTTGGTATCTTATTTAAGGTCTCCTGTTTGTGTTTGTGGGGCAGCAGCAGCTCTGGTTGTTAAGTGAGAGGCTGTTTAGGAAGGGAGTACTCTGCTGCATTTATCACTGCAATCTCAGATAAAAATGAAAAGGGATGTGTTTATCTTTTACACCCTGTCACAAACATACACACACTTTGAAACCTATGTGTAGATCATTTATCAGTGTTGCTTTTAGTCAGGCGTCAGTGCTTTTCCTTTGGCGTCCACCACACAACTTGTAACGTAAATAAAACGAAAAATAAGAATATGCGTTGTCAATAGAGAGTAAACTAAAGGCCCGTGGAAAGGTGCAGTGTGCATGGATGTTTCTTGGAGATGACCTTGTGTGTTCAAAATAAACTTGTAACAGTTTCATGTCTGTCTGCAGGAGTGATAGTTGGTGTGGATGAAAACACTGCTTATTGCTGGCCTGCCTGCAACCACTGTGGAAGTGACAGCTTAGAGAAGTTAGCTGAAAGGCCGTAAGTTCTCAAGTTGAATCAAAATAGCTTGATGTTAAACAGAATGGCAACTTTATTTTTTTGTTTATTTTCTTTCCGCAGCGAAAACTTCCACTGTGTTTCGTGTAAGTCAGTGGTGGACAAGCCGAACACAAGGATTCAACTGGAAGTGTTCCTGAGTTCCCCATTAAGTAACTGCACTGTGAAGGTTAAGGTGAGAACGGTGTTACTGGGTTTTAGGTATCGGTTCAGTACCGTTGTGTCCACAGCGTGGGGAATCAAGCTTCAAAAATGTTTTAGGGCCGATCAAGTGTTGTTACACTGTGTAACTCATGTATTTTAAAGAAATAGTATATATCTGTATCTCTGTACAGTAAATATGAAGGTACTACCAGCGGCCAGTTAGCTTAGTTTAGCACACCAATTGGAAATGGGGACGCAGCTAGGCTGGCTCTGTCCAAAGATACAAAAAGCCTCTAAAGCTACTCTAAAGAGTATTTCTTATCTCCTTGAGGCTCCACTGAATTCCTGGCAACTTCTTAGGCTTAGGAGGTGCTTGTTGTTGGATTTTTGTTACCTTTGGACAGAACCCAGCTCGTTGTTTCCAGTCTCTGTGCTAAGCTAGGCTAACCTCCTGCTGGTCGTAGCTTAATATTTACACTACAGACATGAGAGTGGTATTGATCCTCTCATCTAATTCTTGGCAAGAAGCAAAAATAGCGTTCTGCACATTAAAAGGTTGAAGAAATAAAATCCTTCACTGTATGTGCATCTGCAGGATGGCATTTTTTATTATTTAGGACCTGCTGTTTTTTGTTATCAGAAAACTTAAGTAAGCCAAACTGATAAAATGATCAGTGTTCTTATCAGCCAACTCGTATTTTAAAAGCTTCACTCAGTCTGTTACTCACCAGCAAGCACAGTATGTAAGTGCAGCATATGTGTTGTGTTTACAGCATTAAGGTGATGATTAAAAACACATTAATAGCTTTGCACCTTTTTATCTCTACCACAGCTGCAGCAAAAGACAATCATGTCCATCCTGAACGCTGCAGCACTGGAGGGTAATGAGGTAGGTTTTACATTTTACAAACAGTTACGTAACTCTGGGCAGGACTACGCGGTGCATTGATCTTCTGTCAATAAGTCCTGACAGCACAGTCATCTGTTCATGTCAAAAGTGATAAAGCCTGTTCTGTACTTAACAATAAAAATACCTTAGTCATGCTGGTCGTCGATACAGTCGAGGGAATTTGCCAAAAATACTGACGTAATCTTCCACCATCTCCTGTATTTCATTATTAAGTTTGCATGCAGTTTTTACACTGGGAATATTAGGATTCATTTGCTACAGGTGCTCGGGTTGTTCCTAATCTTGCATTACAGTGGTATGTGCAATGTAAGCATGAATGCTCTTTACCAAGGGAGATCTTGAGAGCAGAATAAAATGTTAGACCAACAGAAATACTGCTGACCACTGTGCAAAGGTCAGGGCCTTAAATGCACTCAAATAGTCTTACATAATCAGATTTTTTTTTAAAAACTATTAGTTCCTGTGCAGGTCGTGAAGGAAGCTTTTAATGGGATGTTTTATATATTTTTTTTAAAGAACTGTCAGCCTAAAATAGACTCAAGTTGTAAATAAAGTCTGAGGTTGTATATTTCAGTTCCCAGGTTACGATGTGGAGAATGTCCTGGGAAAAGAGGTGGGTCCCCTCGCCGTTTACGCCCGAGTCGTCACCAGGAAACCTGCCCTCTGGATCGGCCTGGAAGAAATCTGCCTCTGAGGCTCTCAGGGCAAGTAGCTAATGATATCAATCCTCAGGCTTCAGCTGGCTCCAAGGATCTGCACACTAGGCCTTGGTCTCCCCCGCCCCCCCCTCCCTCTGAAGGCCTCCCTGACAGCTTGAGGCTGTGCCGAAGTGAATGGGACTGCAGAAAGACAAGGTCTTGTTTGTGTTAATGATATGTGATCCTGTGGACCAGGAGCTGACAGCCCAAGGGTAGACCAGTGGCATGCAGTCTGTCAAAGCAGCCCACGTGGTTCATCAAATGGGATGTAACTTTTTGAACAAGACTTTTGGCTGTAAACATATTTTTCAAATGGCCTAAAAAAAAAAAAGAAGCTTTTCTTCACCTCATCTACCTCTGTATATAAGATTACTGCCAGTGTGTCAATAAACATATTTTTTGCTGACTTTACTTTCTATTTCCTGTTGCACTTTCTGACTTCTTGTGAGAAAACACCCCCACACTTTATGCAAAGAGCACTCACAGACCAGGATATTTCTGCACCTTTTCAGCAATTTTATTATAGATTCCATAAACAAAAATGTTTTCAAGGTTTCATACAAACTATATAAAAGATCATGCTCTGGCTCTTATACAAAGTTTGGAATTATAAAACATGTACCATATCAGGTATAACATCATGTAAATGCAGTGGTAAAATAATTTAATACAGAGGAAATCCCACAAAAAATATGGCAGCATATCATATATTTTCCAGTGCCATTATGGTAAGCTTAAAATACATCTGGTACAGATGGTAAAATGTCTGTTGAGGTATTATCTCCTTAAAACTCAGTTCATACGATAATGGATCTGTCACCGGCTCTCCGCACCCGAAGAGCCCGCAAAGTTGGAGTTGGGCATCTGCTTGAAGAACTCTCTGAGCCCTGTGAGCTCTCTGGTTAGCTGCTCGATAGTTTTATGAAGCCTGTCGTTCTCAGAGCCCAGTTCAATCATCTTCTGCTGCATCTCCATGTTGCGCATCTTGGCTTTATCCCTGCTTTTCCTCACTGCAATGTTATTCCTCTCTCGCCTCTGTCGGTACTCCACGCTGTACCTGTCCACCGCCTTCTTCCCCTTTTCCCTCCCGATCTTCCGCGGGGAGGACTTGGCCGAGCTGCCACTGGAGACGGGCTCCGGGGTGGTGGGGGGCGTCGGCTGCCCTGTAGGGAGGCTGACAGAGGTCTGGGCGCAGGTCTCGATCTGTGAAGGCAGGGACGAGGACATGTCGCTGTCACTCCAGTCGGACTCCTGCTTGATGGGCGCACTGAACGCCCCCTTATCCAGCATGCTGTCCGCCCTCCTCTCCGCCGTGAACGCGGCCGACAGCTGCTGCATGCCGCCGGGCTGCACGGAGCTCTGCATGTTGTAGAAATCCACCTTCTCCTGCTTCACGGTGTTGAACAGGTCGAGGAAGAGCTCGTCGTTGCACAGCTCCAGGTTTGGCACGGCTGTCATGGACTCGATGTACTGGCTGAAGTCGATGGCACTCTCGTCGTCGTACATGGCAGGGGCGGTGCTCAGCTCCACCATGGTGCCGTCCTCGCCCGAGCCGTCGCTCCTGCTGCCCGGCTTGCAGACCCCCTGCTGCGGGCCACCCAGCTTGGCGCTCTCGTAGAAGTTAGCAGGCTCCATTGCCCAACTCATGTTGCATTGTGGAGACACGCAGTGAGAGTCCAGGCTGTATATGTCACACATGAACCCTGGTGACTTGTCCACGTGGTTTAGGAAGTAAATAAACGTGTTATAATGTGAACCCCAACAGGTGTGACAGCACGACGAAAGCCTGCAGTGGCTTTACTTTCTCTGCACGCGCCCTTGTTCCTGTTCTTTTTTTAAAAAAAAAAAAAGAAAAGAAATCTTTGGCTGTTTTCTTTTTTTTATCCCCTGGGTGGTGACTGGCAGGGTCCTGTCACTGAAAACACTCACACACTTCTCTGAGGTTTCTGTACTTTCGCGGAGTGTTTTGTACCGTTCCCCGCTGACGTCACACGCACCGCCCTCTCGCGGGCCCACTCAAGGCTTTAACGGGAGTCACGTGGTTCCCGTTAACTTCCCATTTGAGGAGCGAGGGGCGTGTTGCTCGTGCCACCCACTCCTTACTACGATTGTATGAATGGTTGCAGAGTTGTTTACACACTTGTAGGCTCTGGCTGTTTGGGGATTAAGTTTAATTTGTCTGCCCCAAACTGAGGTGAACAAGTATTTAAGATCATTTACTGAAGTAAAAATAATCACATTACACTATAAAACAAAAGTAAAAAGTAAAAGTAGTAAAGTATTATCTGGAAAATGTATTTAAAGTGTCAAAAACGACTCCTTATGCGGATCTTTATTACCGATGCATTAACATTTAAGTGCTACTTTAAAGGTCTAGTGTGTAACATTTAGGATGGAATATAATATTCATCGGTATGTTTTTATTACTGTATAATCACCTGAATATAGGAATTATTCTGTTTTTGTTATTTATGAATTGTTTTAATCTACAGATACCGCGGGTCGCCTTCCATGGAGTCAGCCATGTTGAACCGCCATGTTTCTACAGTAGCCTGGAACGGACAAACCAAACAGTGGCTGTAGAGAGGGCCTTTAGCGAGTTTCATGGCCCCCGTAGTTTCTCCTACAGACTTTAACAGCCCGTTCTCATTTCCAGGTCATCAATCAGTTGCGATCTTAAATGTAGTGGAGTAAAACGCATACTATCGCTATCTGAAATGTAGTTAGTTAGTGTTGTATAAAGTGTGAAGAAGTTGAAATGCTCAAGTAAATCACAATTGTGCAGTGGAGGAAAAAAACACCAAAACAAAAGCAACATATCCTCTTTTTTAGGCTGTTATTACTCCTTTATATTTTATAATAGCGAGCGATATCATGTTGATGTACATCATAAAGATATATGACAATGTGAGGGGGAAATGTACATATTATAAACATGACTATATATTGTGTGTATGCCATACCAGTACAAGACAATATATTATATTACTAGACTAACCATGTACAGCATAATGCTAACATTATGTCTGTTTCTATTACTTTATTTCTTATTCAGCTTATCGAGGGCCCTTATGTTGGTTATGTATGATTTTGAATTGAGTTTTATTTGTCGTCTGTCACCAGGCCTATAAACGTCTTTCCCAGAAGTGGTTCAGTGTAAAAAAAGAAAATACTATGTGGTACAAGCATTCCTGTGGAGGTAAAACCACTAAAACCAAACAAAGTTATTACATTAATAACTTAAAATGGAAAGTATTATCATGCTGATGTACTGTATGACGACATCTGACCAGTCAGTTAAGAGGAAATACACTGATTTGATGGAATTTAAGATGTATAATAGACAATTTTTCATGTGCCAAACGTTTGTTGGTGCCAGATTCTCCAATGGAAGGATTTGCTGCTTTCATTTGTCATACAAGATAGAAAATTGAACATCTTTGGGTTTTGGAGTGTTGTTTTGGGTTTAAAACCAGTGTTTTTAAGATGTCATGTTGGGCCCTGACAACCAATAATAAAGCTCATCACTTGCAACCCTAATTAACCCATGCAGGGACATAGACAAAGCTTCTTAGTTGCTCTCATTTAACATACTCACAGACAACAAATTTACTGAAGGATACAAAGCCGGACACACGCCTAAACAAACATTACAAACTTAACAAATAAGCAAACTTCCACATACAATATAGCCATTATATACAGGCAACAGCTGGACAACAAGTCACCTATATCCAGATCAAACTGTTGTACTGTGTGTGGATAGTAAGGTGCTCTACATACAGAGGTGGTTTATGTGATGAGACTATACAGTTTATACACTCTGCTTACTAGACTAATGTATGATAGTGAACTGTCACAATATTGTTGGCTATATTCATTGCCATGTACATTACAAAAACCCTTATTTTACCCTGTCACGACAAGTTTTTAACATCATTCCACTTTATATACAGTATAATGACCTCCCCCCTGAAGGAACACATGTACTGTCACTTCTCGGAAACGCTCCTGTGTAAAAAGTATTCTGTACTTTTCCTTTATCAAAGCCCTTTTTGTAATGGAAACTGCGCCACCTGGTGGTCAATGGATGTACCTGCGGGATAAAAATCACATTTTTTAAAAGTGAACATATTTCACTCTTTAAAATGTCCCTACTCTGACCACTACTGGGGAGACATTTCTCTACTTTACTGCTTCCTCTAAACTGATATAACACTGGAATTTATTTATTTCCAGTATATTCAATATCTGTGCCTGCTTGGAAACTAATATAATAATAATTAGACTATATGGTGGTGGTCTTAAAATATGTATCTTAATGGAAAAGCATCTAAAAATCATTATATTACCGATACAATTATATATATATATATATATTGTAAGTATGAAACAAACAATGTTGTTCGTATATATGTATTTTTATGTTATTATTAATTTCATAGTATCAGTAAATTTGTATTGTTGTATTTATGATCTGTTTAAATAAAGAAAAGGCTAAAAAAAACAAAAAAAAAAGTAATTTGCTGTTGGACCAAACCAAATCGTCGCGGGGTGTCGGTAATCGTGAGGCCACGCGCAATAAACGTAGGTCATATTTTAAATATAATAAAGAGACATGAGTGTAGTTGTGCCTGTATTAAAACGATCTATTTGATATATTTAGACACTTTATTGTGTTTAATTAAAGTAGTAACGACTGAAACTCAACACGAACCCCCCTCTGCAGTGAAGAAATCGCCCGGAAAGAACACCACGGTTCTGGGCTGCTATTGGTCCAAAGTTCCCCGCGAAAACAACGTCACCAGCAGTTTCGCGCCAGATCTGCAGCACTCTTACGTACACACAAGAGGAGGTAAGAAAAGACTTCCTTTACTTCTTTTCTATAAACTTATTGATTACGCTCGATGAGTCAAAGTTTATTTTGTTTCTAATGTTTGTCTGAGTGCATCGCGGTGCTCTTCCATTCACTCGCTCACTCCTAAATGTTAAATCCGGTGAAACATTGCATGTAAGTTTCAACTCATTGTTTCCTCTGCAGCCACATGTCGGATGGTGGAAAAGTTGTTGTTAACTGATCCAAGGCCTTTAATAAAAGTATCAAACACACAATATATACAAGTGAACAGTAACGTTGTACA